ATTGCTCTGATGTTTGATGTTCACCCCTCTGAACCTTAGAGACAGAAAGCTATGTTGAATGAACTTTTTTTTTTTTTTTTCCAGTTTTGTAATCCTGTGACTTTGAATTTGGGAATAATATGAAGGGCAAAGGGCAAGGAGGCCAAGCACAGATGCTCTGGTGAATTGAGAATGCTGATTAATAAAAGCAAACCAAACTCACTGCTATCCAGTCAATTCTGACTCATAGTAAACCCCATTGGGTTTCAGAGGCAGTAAATCTTTAGGGAAGTAGATTGCTGCATCTTCCTTCCACAGAGGGCTGGTGGGTTTGAACTGCCAACCTTCTGATTAGCAGTCAAATGCCTTAGGCACTATGCCACCAGAGCTCCTAGTATTATTGCAAATCCACGTTCACACCCCAAGGTCAGGTTGAGGCTGGGCAGGTGGAGCTGAAGTCACTTAGCCCTGGATTCCTCAGGTGTGCAGTGGCTGCTCCTCCCAGATGTTTCCTAGGCAATGTTGCCTCCTTTATACTGGAAAGTTTTGAATGTCCGGGGGGGGAATAAAGAGGGAGGGAAATGAAGAGTCTCCGCTCTCTGTTTGTGTGGTGGTGGGGAAGGGAGCCCAGGAACAAATGGAAACTACAGAAATACCAGCCTGCCTTGGGGGAGATGAGACAAAGGGTGAGTCTGTACTATAGGCCTTTTTTTTCAAGCCCTGGTTAAAATTCAGTAAACAAACTGTTTTTCCAACTTGCCGTTGAGTCTATCCTGACTCATGATGACTCCACATGTGTGAAGTAGCACTGTGCTTCATAGGATTTTCAATGGCTGATTTTTCAAAAGGTAGATTGCCAGGCACCTCTGTGTGGACTCAAACCTTCAACCTTTTGGTTAGCAGCTGAGTCTGTTAACTGTTTGCACCACCTAGGGACACTTAAATCCTGGTTAAAATACAGTAAACAAAGTGTTTTGCCAGAGTGTTTGACCACTCCCCCCAATGAGCTTCTAGACCTATTTTGTTTAGTATTGTAGCCAGTACTCACATGTGGCTATCAGTACTTGGAATATGGTTTAACTGAGCTACTGGACCTTTATTCAAATTAATTTTAACAGCTATGTGTAGTCAACAGCACCATATTGGACAAAGCACTGCATTTCCATCACTCTGAGTTCTAGTGGCCAGCCCTGCTCTCTGGTTTCTGCTTTAATGGAGAGCATAGTCTCGTCAAGGGAGGAAGCAGGAGCATCCAAGGTGTTCCATTTCATAACCAACGCAAAGCTATGGCAGCCTTGAAAAAGAGACACCTCTACACAATACACACCCATGTATATGTGTACCTATATTCATCCCTAGTGGCCGCTATGGAGGCCTTTGATCCCTCCCTCCCCAGCAGCATATTTAATTCAGAAGTCTATTTTTATTTAGTTTTTGCTATTTTCTCCTCTTTCCTTTAAGAAGACATTGATTGACCTCGTTGAAGAGAAAGTTCTCTGAGTGTTGCCAAGGAACAGCAGTGTTTTCTCCTGTAGCCGGCCCCACTGAGGGTATCTGGTCTCCAAGGCCGTCTGTCTCAGGCAGTCGAGACAGCACTTCATTCCTGCTCCTCCGGCCTGTGGCTTGGCCAGGTGAAGGTGGTGACTGTGCAGGGCTGAGCCTGTGTGTCCGGAGGGAGCTGCTGTATCTGTCACTTGTGAGTGATGTCCAAGAGAGGGCAATACTTAATATCACAAAGTCATAATTGAGTCCCAGTAAGAAGATCAAACATGGCTTTTCATTTTATTTAAATAAGTTTCTCTCTTGTGTGTATTTGAATTTTACAGGAAAAAAAATACTGACAAATACTAGACAACTTTGACTATCTATATTCTTCTTAAAAATTGACTGCCTTTTCTCTACAATGCCCGCCCCCTTCCCCCACTCCCCCCAAAAAAGCTAACCCATTGAGCAACGGAGAAACCTTCTCTGACCCTGTCTGCTGTGTGGCTGAATCTGGTCTGAGGACATCCTGGCCTGGGGGGCCTCAGCCCCAAGTCTGTCCTGGTGTAGAAAGGCCCTTCTCTATGAATTCTCTGTATGCCTTCATCAGCTTAGATCTATCCAGATCAGCCAATGCAGACTCCAGTCCTGAGGGGGCAGAGGCTAGAGAAGAGGAGCAAAAATCCCCCCATGGAGATGTGATGCTAAGAGAGAATAAGAGAATAAAGCCTGAGAGGAGAAAGACAAGAATTAAGTGAGGAGAGAGGAAAAACCAAACACCAAACTCACTGCCATGGAGTTGGATCCAACTCATAGTGAACCCTCCTTGGGTTTCTGAGGTGGTATCACTATGGGAGTATATTGCCCAGTCTTCCTTCTGAGGAGTGGCTGGTGAGTTTGAACTACCCGCCTTCTGATTAGCAGTCAAATGCCTTAGGCACTATGCTACCAGAGCTCCTTGAAAGAGGAGTACGCATTAATAGTTACTTCTATAGGCTCCATTCACACATCCGTTGACTAAACCAAAATTTGAGAGAGCCTGTCAAGTGCCTGGCACTGATCTAGGTGCTCCAGTGAAGACTGTAGGGGAGGTTGGGCGTGGGGAAGAGTTAAGTCCCATTCAGGCTTCGGGTCTTCTGGGTCTCAGGCTATGGAAGCAACCAAGGGAGTTTCTGGATAACTCATGCCTGCAGCTAGAGCAAGTCCTTTGGGTTAGGAGACAGCAGAGACACTTTATCAGGAGACAGAGGCCTCATCATGGCAGTGACAGCTGAATGCTATCTTAATTCAAACTAGCAGCCAGTTGCCATGGCAACTGTTACTTGTGTGGTCCCTGATCCCTGTGATCCATTCTCCTAGATCACGTCTGACACCCAATTTTAGCTGTTAGCTTCTTGCCTCCCCCAAGTCATCCCTTTGAGGAGGACTGAGGGCTGGAGATGGAAAGACAACTCATCCCAGTGGGCAGCAGAAGTGGGGAGGTGTGTGCGTTTGGTGTGGAAGACAATTAGCCATCCTCTGAAGAGGGCAGCCAGGTATTCCATGACAATTCTATGTGACAAAGAGATCAGAGAGTACTGCTTGCTCTGGTCAAAGGGCTGAGAGACCTGAGTGCCCAGGGAATTGAGGGCCACTTTGAGTTTGAGGATGAATGAGACTGGTTCTAAAATATATGCAGGCCTATCATTTACAGAGTCACCTGTTGGAAGACCCTGGTTTAACCAGCACCATCAGATGCTCACCTTCCATAGACCTAGATACACCTTGAGAGCAGATGGGTACCAGGTGGTCCAAGTCAGGAAACATAATGCATCTTTCCGCTAAAACAATCTTATAAAATTTTGTTTTTTGTTCTGATAAATACTATAGGTTAGCTCTATTAGTAATTAAATAGCAATCTAGCCACCATTTATAACAGCTTCTGTGGGAAAATATTTCAAGAGAGTGATGCAGCAGATTTGCAGATTCTTTTAGCACAAATTGCTCCCAAATAGGGAATTGTCCATCTTTATAATATTGTCAATACAATCAAAATACCAAGCAGCTCATCATATAAGCAGATTAACTCTGCCTCCCAACCTCAACTCAGTAGGGAAAAGCTCTCCTTAACTCACTGCAGATCTAGTTTATTTACATGTCCTTGCGTACCTCGGTACACGTGTCAACTTGAACCTTGGTTCTGCATGCACTCGTTTGCAGAATTTAATACCTAACTCTCATCATTGCAGCAATTTGTGGGCTCACTGAGAAGAGAAGGTCACTTGGGGGAATTGGCGAGGTATTTACAAGTTTACCTTTGACATTACAAACCCAACAGGATCCACAGATAGTGATGAGTACCTACGGTGTGCAAGGCATTGGCCTGAGCTTCAAGAAAAATATCAGCAGACATCCATATAGCTTCATTCTACTTTCACTTAAACTCTGTTACATCTGCCTCCCACCTACAACATACTATGCATCCATTACAACTTTAAGAGGTCACTTGCAGTGTGCCTTCTGCGAACTTTTCCAGTGGTTGTCTTAATTCCTTCCCCCCTGAAGCCATTAGATTACACAGGAGATACCCAGCTCAGGAGTAACATCTCCTTATCCTTTCCATCTGTAAAATATACATGGTACAGGTACACAGCTGTCATCCACTGAAGTCAGTGAGTGGGTTTCCATAGCTTTCTAGCAGTTACTACCAAAAGCTGTTTGTTCTTGCTTGGAGAAGGATACCTTGCTGAGTGCTTATGAGGGAACCATCTCAAAGAGAGGTTCTGGACAATGTTAGATACCTAGTAGAGGTAATGAGGATCTTGCCATGAGTTGCAAGAAAAATAGTTTTCAAATAATTTTGATCCATCAGCTTTTTGGCAAGTCAGGGGTGAGAAGCACAGGCACTGAGTGCATCTGTATAAATATACACAGAGATGGGGCCTGTACCAGGTTGCTGGAATGTCCAAATATGAGTTTTTCCAGTAAAAGTTTCTGTAGGGATAGGAATAGGAAAGCACACATCTCTAACCTGAGTTATGTATAGAACTGATGGTGCACAGAGGCCTTCCCTGTTTTTGTAATTGTGTTTATGTGCCCAGATCTGGCCAGGCCTTTCCATGAAACATTTTTTGCAAGAGTAGACAATGTATTGTCTTTCACACAATGCCTGGCATAAAGTAGACAAATAGACATTCAATGACAATTTGATGAACAGAATGTACTTGCCTATGTACCTGTTGCCTGAATATGTATGTGTGTGCACTGCGTGCACACTTGGGAGCCATATCAAGACCTATGGGTAGATGTTCTTTGTGTTTTTGCATATGGGGTATGCCAGATACAGGGAGAAGGCATACTTGGGACTGTTGTAAAGAGTATTGCCATCAGACACATAGCTGCCAAGACCGTGTCCAAGAATAGTCCACGTGCTTCCCTGGGAGTGCCACTCACTCTGAGGTTTGTTCCTTGGTCTAGTAGTTACTCTGTGGACATGAGAGCATCATTTCAAAGATTCCTGCTTTCTACCCTGCATGGCTGGAAGGAAGCTTAGCTCCTAACTAGACAGGCAGTGATGGCCTCTTCTCCATCTGGAGAAGCTTGGGCTGGGCAGAGATCCAGAGGTCTTCTTCATCCTTCTTCTTCTTTTTCTTCCTCTTGTTCTGCTCTGGCTGTCGGCCACTCTTGCCTGGCTGGCTCCAGCAGCAATGGCAACAAATGAAGATGAGTGTGAGGATGACCAATAATGGCAGCCCCAGGAGGACTCCCAGGCAGATGGTGTTGAAAATACCTTCTTGGTGTTTGGTAGTAATGGTGTCCCAGATGGCGTTGAAGAAGGAGCTGATTCTTTCCATGGTGCTTGGCTAGACTGGAGCCAGAGGATGCTTTCAGCTGACTAGCAAGTTCTGGGCTCAAGAGAGCACAGTCTTGATCACTTAATTTATTCCTCTTCTGGCTTTGGGTTCAGGCATGCCAATGGTAGCACCTGAGAGACAAAAATAGACAATTCAAGAGAAATGCATTGGAAATGTTTCATAACTTTTAGTAACATTATAGATTTAACGCTTAGGAAAAAAACCAAACCAAACTCATTGCCATCAAGTCGATTCTGACTTACAGTGACCCCTTTGGGTTTCCAAGTGAGTAAAACTTTACGGAAATTGATTGCCCAGTCTTCCTTCCATGAAGTGGCTGGGGGGTTTGTACCACTAACCTTTTGGTTAGCAGTCAAATGCCTTAGGCCCTACACTACCAGAGCTCCTTTAGGTTAGGAAAGGGGAAAGGAATTGAAGATTTCCAGAGTCTACTGATAATTGTATTGAGCTCAATAAACAAAGTAAATGTATACATTTAGTGAATAAGCATTAACTAATTCTGTGGCATAGTGCCTAAGGCATTTGACTGCTAACCAGAAGGCTGCTGGTTCAAACCTACTCCTCAGAAGGAAGACTGGGCAATCAACTTCTGTAGAGATACTACCTTGGAAACCCAAGGAGGGGTTGCTATGAGTCGAATCAACTCGACAGTAGTGAGTTTGGTTTTGGTTTTATGCACACTATGTTAGGTAGCATAGTGCCTAAGGCACTTGACTGCTAACCAGAAGGCTGGCGGTTCAAACCCACCAGCCATTCCTCGGAAGGAAGGTTGGGCAGTCCTACTTCTGTAGTGATACTGCCTCGGAAACCCAAGGAGGGGTCGCTATGAGTCAGCCGACTCGACAGCAAATAACAACAATGTTAGGCTTAGGATATAAAGATTAGTAGTGTATCTGATCTGGCATATAGTAGGTGCTCAGTAATTTTTGATTAAATGAATCAGTATGTCTGGTCAGATTTCTGGTCAGGGATTGGCTCCCTGGATGCTCTACAATAGTTCTCAATTTCCTTTCTACTGACGTTCACCCGACAAATGTTGAATACCCACTTCCGTATAGGATAGCTTTTTTCCTACCCTTCTATGAACACAACTTGCCATTATCAACAACTATTAAAGCTGAAACACAAGATGAAATGTCTCAGTGCCTTTGATAGGGGACTTGGACCTCCCAAGGCTAAGAGATCATCCTCATCCTGCCCCCTCCTGCTTTTCTTTCTTCTCCACATCTCCTCCCCTCCTTGTATCCCACTCCTGGGCCTGAGGAGGACCCACAGTGCTTTGGCAAGACCTCCTGAGCTTCCAGGACCTCCTGAGGCTGGGAGGACGAGGAGATACCATTTTTGCTACTCCTGTCTGCTTTCTACTTTCTTTTCCCTGGTCACCTTCATCTCTGCTTTCCATCTCCCCACCAAATACTCTCAAATATCTTTCCATGCCTGTTTCCTCACCATCTTTTCTTCTCATTGGAAAAGGATCCTCGTAAGGCTGCTCAGTGATGAAGCTTTGGAACTAGAGGTTTGAGGACCCTGGCGATGTGGTTACCTAGTGCCTCTCTAACACAAGATACTACAGATGGGATGGCTTGAACAAACAGAAGTTTATTCTCTTAAGTTTGGAGGCTTTAAGTCCAAGTTCAAAGTGCTAGGCTGTAGGGGCTGGGTTAAAGGCCCTCAGCCTTGGGCTTCAGCTCTGCCACCTGTTCCCGGCCCACTGAAGCTAGAGGCTTTTCTTCACTCAGACAGCTGCTGGCTGCTGAGGCTAACAAGCCCAAGGTTGACAAGTAAAAAAGGCACAGTCTTGATGTTACCAAACCACATGGCAGGTCATTAATTCAAGTCCATTGGAAGTCCCAAGGTTGGCAGAGCATGGCAGGCTGCTGAATAACAGCACAGCTACATGCAGGGTTCAAGCATGTCTTAAGCTGGAGACTATTCCCAAAGCTGCTACTTATATATGGGAAGCAGACCACATCCCTAAAGCAGCTACTTAGCTGCTTGTGGTAGATCCCACCATGGAGATGATTGCCAGTCTCATCATGAAGAATAACTACCACCAGCTGCCCAGCCACTCAACCAGACCCAGCCAAGCTGACACACAAACTTAACTACCATACCTGGGTACCTTCCTACTCCTATCTTGAGCTCAGCTTATTGCTGGGGCCATTTTCCTGTTTGCTTGTACAGAAAGGCCAGTGTTTCCTTGGCACTCTTTACCTTTGCACATGTACTCTAAGACTCACCTTTCAAGTAGAAAGGTCTGAGAGGCTGAGTTCAGTTCTGGAATCCACAAGGTCTTGCATCTGAACAAGACTCTGAGGACAGGAGTGATTCAAGGAAATTTAAGAGCCTTCTTGGTGCAAGATATTGCCCTGGACCCAGAGATCAAGCAATCATTGATTTTCCTATTGGGGACCCTCAAGATCATCCTGTCCAACTCTCTAAATTAAAGATTAAGAATCTGAGGCCCAGAGCAGTGAAGTGACATCAAGCTGTGATGAAAACCAGATCTCTAGACAATAGGCCTAATGCTCTCTCAAGGCTCTGAACAGCTGGAGGAACTAAGGCTGACAATGATGTTGTTGTTGTTGTTAGGTGCCTTTGAGTTGTTTCTGACTCATAGCGACCCCATGCACAGCAGAACGAAACACTGCCCAATCCTGCGCCAGGTCCACGATCCCTGCTATACTTGAGTCCATCATCGCAGCCACTGTGCCAATCCATCTTGTTGAAGGCCTCCCCCTCTTTCGTCGACCCTCCACCCTACCAAGCATGACATCCTTCTCCAGGGAATGATCCCTTCTGACAACATGACCAAAA